AAGGATATAAAAATATGCCACCATTACTGTATAACGGATAAATTTTAAAGTAAAAAGGGCTTTCTACTCTAATCAAGAAAATTATGTCTTGAATGTCCTAGTTACTTTGACATCAAGTAAACATTTTTATCTACCTTAAATGGTTTATTTTTTGTTTGTTTATAAATTGTGGGATGTTTTAGATTGCTTAAAAACTTTCATTCGTTTTTTTATATAAAAGTAAGCGACATTTTTCTTTCAACATTAACTTAGTTGAACAAAGTTTTCACTGTTTAGTTCGGCTATCTTCTGTCTCCTTTCAGCCAAGTTGATTCTACCCTCTCGGGATATTTTTTTTTATCTTTCTCAGCACAGTTGTTTTCATTGCCTTTTACAGTCACCTACGGAAGTTTTATTTTTCCATTAAGAGAATTCTGTAAAAACCGGAATAAATTGTAATTTGAACTTACAGTATCTGGTGAAAACAGAGAAGATACGAAAACATCCCAGACAAGCTGTAAAAAATGTATCTCTTCAATAAAGGAATGTTTAAAATATTTCCATGAATACAGGGAGCCGGAGAAATACGTTTTACATTTTAAACGTTAATAAAAAAAAAAACCAAAATACAAAAAAAAACAAGGTAACTGCTATTAAAAACATATTTCACGCTACAGTTCTTATTCATTTGTTTTTAAAAATGACATCCCCAAAATGGTGGCTTCTACTCGCCACACACTGTTGTAAACGATTGTTAACGTGTTCTATCACCCGGAGAGCTTTAAGGTCTTCCAGGTGGCTTTCTTTTAAGCGATGAACGTGTGGCCCTGAAATTTAAAACCCATAACAGTATCGATTTTGGGGGCACTTCGTCGTGATATAATGACTAGAAAGCCTGTCTCGCTAGATCAATTACGACTGAATAGTGAGTTCAATCCTCACCAGGTGCCCCACATTTCAGCCTTGTGCAATAACTAAGCTACTCTTGGAAAATTACCATAACATTATCGAGCCGGAACAAAACCATTCTGACATATGAGGAAATTAGCACAAAAATCTCACAGTGTCGTATTTACAGAGAAGCAGCACTACCTGCTCAAAAACAATCTTACAATATGAAAAATATTTTCTGGCTTTAAATAACCTGCAACGTGATGATAAGCCGTAGAAAACGAATCAATCAAATTAGTGAAAATGAGATTCGATAATTTGTCGTAAGCTTTTTAACATTAAAATCTGCGGAATTCTATTTAAAAGGTACAGAAGAACTGCCTGGTAAGGTGATAACAGATTTTTGCAAAGAATGGTGAATTTATGATTGGATAAAATGTAATTGTACTTTATTTTTGAAGAATAAAATCTATAAACAAAACGGAAATTATTAAGTTGACACAAATGAAATGACGCCCTTTATAGGAAATGAATAAAAACGCTTCTGAAATATTAAATAACTAATTTATTCAGTTGAAATAGGTACCATATTATTGAATGACTTTTCTCCAACGTACCTCTAAATTCTTAATCCCATCTTTAAAAAATTTTCATCCTTTGATGTGATAAATATTTCAAATGATTCCAGTACCTCTTCCCTACTGAAGAATCTTTTATTGCATATGAAAAGCTAAAAATGCTTAAATAAGTGATAATTAGTAGTAGAGATATCAGGTGAATATGGAAGATGAGGCAAAAATGTCATAATTCAGGCTATGATGCTTTTGAACAGTTAATTGAGAAGTATGCGACCTTGCGCTGTCGTGCAGCAAAATTCACAAGTCTATGGTGTATCTTTTTCAATTCTTCGTGCATCCACCGAATTTCTCAACAATACGAGATTACTGTTATTGCTTTCCCTTGAGGCAAGAATGTATAACGGATAAACTCTTTGAAAACCACCATTAACTTTTTAGGGTGCAGTGGGGGTTTTGGCTATTGTTTTGGTGATTCATTTGAATCTAACCACTAGCCTAGTTTCTTACTCTTGTTAAAAAGTATCCATTTCTCATGGCATGTAATAATTTGATACAGAATTTTTCTTTTTCCCAATTTGTACTCATATAGTAAGATTAATCGACATTATCTCATTGTAATGATTTTCATTAAGCTCATGAGTAACAATATATAGAAAGAAAAATTATCTGAAAAGAAAAAGAGCCAAGAATAAATCAAGATTTTTTTAATATACTAAGAATGTTACTTCGTTAGATGACCAGATCAACAATCAACCAAAAAAATGCGTCACCACTTATGATTAAAGGAAATATCGGCCAGTTATGCGCCATTTGTGATACACGCTACGATACATGACTGACGAGGCAGGTTTTTTTTCCAGCACTAGGTTGCCATTTCTTTCTACAGTAGAGCAGTTGCCATCCAAGGCTATAGAACCCGGTCTGTCCTGCTATTTACTCACAGCTGGGGCAGAAGAAGAAAATTCATACCTTTCCCAAGGGTATTAGCACGTGAGTGAATGTAATGGATCCGACTGTAATTCGAACTCGGCTCTCCGATTTCTCAATCCAAATATATTGAAGCAAATAATATGATTTCAATGTTCGGATAATTACGGTTCGTATTCTCCACGTACAATTATGGTTCGTATTTTCCATGTATAATATTATTCTCTGTAACTGTTTCATTTCATGTAGAAACACCTTTGCATAAATCCGTATGTGTTTCGGGAAATGATGTAGACAGAGTTTATAGGTTAGTTTTTCTTAATCACCTGACGGAGAAAGAAACCTAAGGATTTTGTTAGGAAATAATGAAATGCATAAAATCTCATAAGAAAATGGTTTTTACATTAGTCGGACTATTGTCCTCATCTTTGTCGCCATATTTGTCACAACGTTTCGGCCGTTGTACGCTCCGGCTTTCTTCAGATGGTTGGAATTTCGAACTGAACCCTTTATTTCGATCGCTGGGGTAGACTGTTCTAATTCCACAAACATAGACAAACCCAAAATGGTTTTTATTTTAATAAGTGTTGATTCGCACTCACCATTTGCAATGTACCCATTGAGTGCATTTGTTAGCAATTTTCTGCTGTAGTAAGAGTGCTAGATGAACAAAACACAATTACCTGTTTTGAGGTTAATAGCGTTCAAGTTATTTGAATGAAGATGAGGCAGGGAGATTAAAAGTGAACAAGATAAAAGGTTTTACTAATTTAACATTTCTATACAAATCAACGGAAACGGTTGTTTTTTTTTGTTTTTTGTTTTGTTTTGTTTTTTCGTTTTTCGTTTTTTTTTTTTTTTTGAAATCCTCTCTTTCAAACAAAGGTCCCTTATTTCACAGGGTCTAATTGGAACAGGACATTGTGCCAGCTTAAAAATGTTTTTGTTGAAAAAGTATTCTTTTTACCATATCGTTTGTTTCAAACAATGAACAAGGCTTTTTATTTCCAATGACTGAGGTGGAAAATACATATAGTTCTCTTAATTAAAATTGTATTTATCGAAAAGGGAGGTGTTCTTTTTTCAAATCGTCTCTTAAAAACAAACAACAGAGCTTCCTTAGTTTAAATGACTGAGTTGGTAAAAGGATATAGTTCCCTTAATTAAAATTGTATTTGTCGATAAAGGGGTTTTTATTTTTTTCAAATCGTCTCTTACAAACTAACAACAGAGCTTCCTTATTTTAAATGACTGAATTGGTAAAAGGGTGTAGTTCCCTTAATTAAAATTGTATTTGTCGATTTTCTTTTTTCTAAATCGTCTCTTTTAAACAAAGAATGGGGTTTCATCATATCAAATGATCGAAAGCGAAAAAGGATGTATTTCACTCAATTAAAAATTCATTTATCGATCAAGGTAGAATGTTTTCTTAATGAATGATAATTCAACAATTAATCTGAAGGGTATAAATAAGTGTAATTTAGGTGTGACGCGATGAAATATGAATGATTGTACAGCGTCGAGAATATCGGTAATGAAAGCGTATCGAGTTAAAATTCTAGCACAGGCCGCCACATTTGCATTCACACAAAAACCCTTGGAAACGTATAAGTTAATCTCTTTTCCTCAATTTTCTTGCCCCAGCTATGGGTTAAATAGCAGCGCATATTAGGCTATCTAGCTTCGGTAGGCATCTCGTCAAGTTTTGTTTGTTTTGTTTTACGGCTTATCAACCTCAATGAGTTATTTAATGCCGACAAGATTTTTATTGCTGGTAATATTTTTTTTTTCAAAAATGTATTCATGGTAATATTTTTTCTTCAATTAAACTATTGCTGGCATGAAAACCTATTTTTACACTTTTATAGTGTTTTGACCCAAGTTTAATGGTTAACTATTTAACCATAGCTGTTACCCTAACTGGTGTGACCACCACGCTCCTCAAAACCTCCTGATCAGAGGACTTGTCGTAAAGTATAACACTGAATTTAAAACCGGTTGTATATGCAAATGCTATCCCCATCCCGTAAAAACAAAAGAACTTCAGAATCCATAGCAGTTATAAGTACGGGAGTCTACAGTGTTAAAATAATAATTCTTCTAAACACCGTGACTGCAACTTATAAACGATTACCTTGCTTGACGAAATGACTAAAAAGCATTTTTTTATGAATAGACCATATCAAATTTTTTTTTCTAATCATTTCACCCCACGTGTGAGGTCTTAGTGAGAATGCAAACAAGGTGTAGGCTTATACTTAATATCAGGAAGAAGTAGCTGATGTTTCTGGGATACATTATGAGGAAGGAGGGCCTAGAGAATCTGATATTCACGTGTCGAATAGAGGGAAAGAGAGACAAGGGAAAACAACGTGTGGCATACCCTGGCGGACTTAAGCAAGTGGATAAGAGAACGTGGTCTGGGGGGAGGAAGCAAAGGGAAAGAAACTTGAGAGTTTCAAGGGATAGAGGGAGGTGGAGAGCCATGATCATTTACATCCTGAAAGGATATGGCACATAAAAAAAAGGATATATGTGTATGTATAATATATTAGAAAACACGTAGAATGGGCATTCTAAAATCAGATATTATTATTCGAACAACCTAATAGTATAATTTATTAATTATGTGTAATAATTCCAAGAAATGTAGCTGTTGTTTCTAATATATCGTAAATCCAAGATGAAAATAATGTGATAGATAGATAGATATAAAGGTACTGTAGATAGATAGATAGATAGTGTTGAAACTTGACTAATGCATGGAATAATAATGCTACACAAAATGTACTTAGAACAAAATGTATTGAAACAAGAAAGTGTACACAATATTTATATATAGTCTTTTGTATATTCCTGGGAAGACCGTTCCTGGAGAATGTGTTGACTTAGTCGCAGTCGGGCAGAGACTCTGGATTGAATCTCTTGATTCCTCCCCCCGTCTTCCTGGTACCAACCATATTTATATGGTCGGTACTCCACTATGCAAATTAGGTGGATCCTACCACAACAGATAGATAGATAGATAGATAGATAGATAGATAGATAGATAGATAGATAGATAGATAGATATAAAGCTACTGTAGATAGATAGATAGATAGATAGATAGATAGATAGATAGATAGATAGATAGATAGATAGATAGATATAAAGGTACTATAGATAGATAGATAGATAGATAGATAGATAGATAGATAGATATAACGTAACTGAAATAACTTCCGGTTATTTGATACTCTATGTTTTGACTTTTTACCATCCCTCAATGTTCTTGCTTTGTCATTAATTCATTTTACCGGCTCATTTTCCTTCACATTGCCTTCCGTTTTAAGAGACCCAGGTAAATTATTACCAATGACTCACACTGATCCGGCATTAACTTTTTACTTGTCATTTACGCATAGATATATTTGCTATGCACATATATAAATTAACATTATTAACTTTCCTTTCAAATTCTGCATATATATATATATATATATATATATATATATATATATATATATATATATATATATTGAGAGAGAGAGAGAGAGAGAGAAAGGTTGCGGCAAAAATATCTCCACATATACCTCCCACATTATAGCAATACATTAGCTTGATAAAAAACCATTTCCACTAATGTGTCACCATTATGCATAAGGTATATGTGGGAGATATTTCTGCTACATTTTCATTTATGTGTATATGCCTCTGTGTGTGTGTGTGTGTGTGTGTGTGTGTGTGTGTGTGTGTGTGTGTGTGTGTGTGTGTGTGTGTGTGTGTGTGCATAAGATGTTTTGAAACTATTGTCAAAATATCGTATGCTATTCAGTGCCTTTATTCAAATTATATTTTCCTTGTATTATATTTTCCTTGCCGAATTTAACTTAATACATAATTTCAAAATACGAGATACATTCAAAAGAGACTAACAAAAAAAATGTCTGGACTTTTATCGTTAATTTATATACGTTTTCCTAATAAGACCCGGACTTTTAAAATTCCAAGTCTTTGTACATAAGCTTTTAAATATATAGATATATAAAAGAATCCGTTTTATTTCTTGTAATAAGTCAATTTTATATAATCAACAATTCTGTACGTTAAAAATACTCGAATTTTAACTTCTGGTCACACGGCCATTTTCCATCAGTCAATTTGTCAAAATTCCTCGATTATTCTTTTTCTTTTCTTTCTTCCTTTATTTATTTGTCTGCTTATTTCAGATAAATAGCTTCTTCCGTAAAATACCGAACGGGAAAAATAATAAATATGTTTTGATACAGATTATGCTTACATAGGTGGATTAAATTATTTACACTCGGAGTAATGTTCCCACTTTTGTTATTATCATGACGTTTCGACATTGTGCACACCTGCCTTCTTCTGGTGTCTGTCAATTTCTGGTAACTTTCAGGTAATTTTTTACTGAAACATGTTTGTCTTTAATTAAAAACGATTTGAGATAGGCCTCTAGTTGTAGACGAAATATGCGCGATGGCATGGTCTTAAGTAAAGATCACCATGAGAGGATATTTTAATCATTAGGAATGTGTGATTTATTTTTGTGCAACTATTATAATAATATATTAGAACACAAAAAGGTTTATTCTGAAATTAGACATTATTTTCCGGGCAACCTAATATTTGTATTCCGATTGATACTGTAACAAAAAACAATTCTGGTTTCTTGAAACATAGTCCTTGTCTTCTGTTATGCACAATTCCTAGCTACTCGTAAAAGAAATTTGAAAAAATGAACATGTATGTGATATATATATATAGATAGATAGATAGATAGATAGATAGATAGATAGATAGATAGATAGATAGATATTAATAGAAAGGTATATATATATGTATGCACATAGATAGATAGATAGATAGATAGATAGATAGATATTAACAGAAGGGTATATATATGTATGTATATAGATAGATAGATAGATATTAATAGAAGAGGTATATATATATGTATGCATATAGATAGATAGATAGATAGATAGATATTAATAGAATAGGTATATATATATATATATATATATATGTATATAGATAGCTAGTTATTAATAGAATAGGTATATATATATATATATATATATAGATAGATAGATAGATAGATAGATAGGTAGATAGATAGATATTAATAGAATAGGTATATATATATATATGTATATAGATAGATAGTTATTAATAGAATAGGTATATATATGTATGTATATAAATAGATAGTTATTAATAGAAAAGGTCTATATATATATATTGTATGTAGATAGATAGATAGATAGATATTATCAGAATAGATATATATATATATATATATATATATATGTATATATATATATAGAGAGAGAGATAGAGAGAGAGAGAGAAAGAGAGAGAGAGAAAGAGAGAGAGAGAGAGATACACACAGTAAAAAGAACCTTCAGACATTGGAGAACATCTACATTAAAACAAAGCAGCCATTTCAAACTAGTCGCAACACATTACATTGTATCTAGACATAGGGTTCTGTTGTTAATATTTCGGTCTTTCGCGGGATATGACGTCACAGAAACGCATCTTGAACTTCCTAACTTTGTCTGCTATTCCGCGACCTTTATCGTCGCATAGCAATCTTCTATATCAACAAAATATCATCTTTGACGATAGATATCTTTGTTCCATGCCTGTATAGCTGCTCTGATGATGGCTCATGTGAGCCGAAAGCTTAGGACAAACTTAATAAAAAATATCTAAATGTTGGACAATTTTTGTATTTATTTTAACCAGAAATTAAAGCAAAACTACGTACATTGGAACAGATCATGATCAGACATAAAAGACATTCATTGTTAGCTATATTTAATAATATATATATATATATATATATATATATATATATATATATATATATATATATATATATATATATATTCAAACATATATTGTTAAATATAACAGACAACGAATGATCATGAACCGTTCTAAACTTCGTATAGTTGCTTTAATTTCAGGGAAAAAAAAAAAGACAAAACTGTCCAACATTTGAATATTTTTTTATTATACTCTTCTTTGATCTAAGCTTTCCGCTCACATGAGCCACCTTCAGAGAGGTTATGCGGACATTTCAAACAAAGATATTCACTATCAAAAATGATATTCTGTTATACTGACATAGAAAATTGCTATGCGGCGATAACGGTCGCGGAAGAGCAGCCGCTGGTCGTAAATTTGTGATGCGGTTCTATGACGTCGTGAGACAAGGAAATATTAACAACAAAACCATACCTTTAGATGCAATGTAATGTGTTGGGCCTAGTTTGAATTGTAATTGTTTTAGTGTGGGCCGCTTCGTTTTAATGTAGATGGCCTCCACTATCTGAGAGTTATTTTTTACTGTCTGTATGTATGAGTATTGTTGTATTATCAATTAATATTTGTCTAATATTATGTACATGGCTATGTTTTTCTAAGAAATGTTATTTAATAGAACTAAGAGCAGAAAAGTGACAGGTTAGTCTACGGGAGAGCGTGGTTGTAGTAAAACCAATGTATGTAGTGGATTTATTATTAGCATCTGAAATTCAATCTCTTAACGGGTATGTAAATTGATATACTACATTGCTTTTTTGTAGAGGATTTAGTGGTGTGATTATAGGATTATTAGAGACTATGAGGTCAATTGTTTTAATTTTTTATGCTATATGATGAGCTTAACTTGTTTATTATTAATAAGGGGTTTAACATTCCATGTTTTTGAGATTTGCTTCATCATGTTAGTAATTATTTTGGATTTGGTTACAATAGTTAATAATATTATGTTTATTTTGACTTACACCATAATGGTTACAATTATTATTAATATTATGAATTTTGTAAAAAGTATTATTAAATTTATTGAGATATATTTTAATTTGTTGATCAATGACGGAATTAGGGAATCCATTATTAACAAGTGTTTATTTAATGTTATGTAATTCTTTATAGAATATGGTTTTGGAAGAAGAAAACATTTGTTCGCGTTGGATTAAGTTTTTATGACAGTTAACTTATATCGCTGGGGGGCATTTACTATTATAATTAAGGAGACGTGAGTTAATGCTAGTGGATCTTATATAGAGAGAATAAGTAAATTTATGTGTACTGGAATCAATAAGTACATCAAGGAATGGAATTTTGTTATTAAGTTCTAGTGTAAATTTGATGACAGAGTGACTTTCAAATTTGTTTTTAGTTGTGTAATTTGATCAATATTTTTAGCTAAAACGAAATGTCATCTAACTTGCATATATTATTAGAGTCATTAAGTATTTTATTTTCTAAATGTGCCATATAATAATTATAAAAAAGAGGGACTAAAAGAGATCCCATCGCCATACCGTCTGTTTGAGTATAAATATTACCTAGGCGTCCAGGAAAAGGTACTTGAGTAGTACATGATAATAATATTTTTTTTTTTTTAATAGTGGGTTTGATATTGATGGCTGGGCGAGAAGTGTGACTGTATGCATCATGGATAATGATGTCAATCGTTTTATTGCCGGGGATATTATTAGGTTGGTGCAAAAATAATGACGTAAGAATGTCGTTTTTTGACGTTAAAAAATACGTCAAAAAACGACATTATTACGTCATTATTTTTGCACCAACATAATAGTAAATAAATTTTGTACATTCAAAGATGCGATTATATGATTGTTTGGTATTGCTGCATGAAGAATTTGTATAAATTCATTTCCGGAGTTAGTACAGTATTTACTTTGGAGGTAGGGAGTAATTAATTATTTAAGGTTTTTTGAAAGTTATTATATTGGTGTAGGCATTTGGGAGATGATAGGTCGGAGGTGATGATCTTTCTATGGATTTTTACATTTCCATAAAGGTAGCCAGGTTGATAGTCACTTATAATCTTTTGAAGTTGCTAGCAGTCATTGATAAGATTTTTAAGTTGGGAGGTGGAGTTATTTGTTAACTTTTTTAAATTTATTATGATCGCTCGTCCTGTGTAAAACGTTACACTACATCCACGTCCTGGGTAAGACGATAAACTACATCCAACAGCAAGGCCTCTGATCAGGAGGTTTTGAGGAGCGTGGAACCACCTCGTAATTGCTGGTCTTCCCAGGTCCACCATGACCCAGGGTGGTAGCACCTTTAGGGTCCCAGCTATGGGCAAATAGTTAACTATTACCAGCAATACTTTTTTTAAAAAAATTATTACCAGCAATAAAATTTTGAAGAAAAAATATTACCAGAAACAATTTTTTGACGAAACAAAATATTACCAGAAATAAAAAATATTGTCGGAATTAAACAACCCATTGAGATTGATATGCCATAAAGCCATATAAACTAAACCAATCTAAACCAAAGCATACACATTCTATTCATACGAATCTATCCTAAAAATCTTGTCGGCATTAAATAACACATTGAGGTCAATATGCCGTAAAGCAAAATAAACCAATCCGAACATTATTATGATCGTCCAAAATAGCCTGTAATATTTTAGTGGTACTCATGTTTGTCTAAAATAAAGAAAGTATTAGTTTTATTAGCTCGTCAGATGACAATACTGTTGTTATTTTTTTTTTTTTTAGTTGTGTATAGGAATGTTTATAATTCCATTCGAATTATTATGATAACGGTGTTTAATAGATTCGGCTTTAAGTAATTCTTTTAAACCTACCGGTGTAGAAATATGGTTGTCTTCTTACAATAGAAGTATTTGTTGGGATAAAGCTTCAATTTGCGTTTGTTTAAACATTAAATTAAGTTTCTGTGCGGCATGAAAAATTGGTCGAAGATTAAGGAATTCCATTTCATTTAGAATGAGTTGGAAATCCAATAGGATATACGAAGCTTAGAACGGCTCATAATCAAACATAATAGACATTCGTTGTCTGTTCTATTTAACAATATATGTTTGAACAATGATCTGCTGCCTGAATACACTATATATATATATATATATATATATATATATATATATATATATATATATATATATATATACCACATAACACCCTTTGAGCGCTTAGGCTTGGAGGGGTAGAATGGAGATCAACGTGTTTTAGTGCACTCCGAAATTTTCAATCTGCTTGTCTGAATCATCTTCAAGAAGCGAGAGCAAGAACTAAAAGGTCAGCCAATCTAACAGTGATCTCATCTCACAATCTTAACACTTGCTCCATATGTGGCCTCCTTTGTAAATCACTAGCGGGTCTTAAATGCCACTTAAGCTTACCGCACAAACTTTCATAACTAAATCAACTAAGTTGTCAGATCCTCATACGTCGAAACCGACGGGAGAGTCCATTATAGATAGATAGATAGATAGATAGATAGATAGATAGATGTTGTATTCTAAAAGTTTCTTTTCTCGTAATTCTTGTCCTGTGGAACTCACTTCCGGTTTCTTCTTTCCCACTCACCTAATATTTTCAAACATTTAAATCCAAAGCCAGTTCACATCTTCTCTCTCTTTCTGAAGTCTGTTCTTTTATTGTCCTTGTTTCTCCCTAAAGTTTTCTCATTCTCTTCCACTCTCAGTCATGCCTTGCGTCTTAGTGTTATTATCACCTTTTTCTAACCCTTTTGTTTTTACTCAAGTATAAACTATATCGTTGTCTACCTTCTTTAATAATCTAATTAAACCGAAACGAAGTCTATCTTTCTGCTAATCCCTCATGATTTTTTGTCCCAAAGGACATATATTCGACATTAAATAATCCATCAAGTGATGATCTATCGCTAAATTAAGCAACCAACCTATAGCAGAAAGAAGTACCCGCTATGCACTAACATTTACTAGTCTTCCAAATACGGATTTCTGAGTAAGTTCTACTGTGAGCATAATTGCAGCCTTATGCCAGACTAGACGTTTAGAAAATATGTACAATGCCATTATTTGAGTTTAAATTAGAAATTTCGCGTTGATCGGAGGTAGTGATGCGAGTTCGAATGTCAGTTTTGGCTCTATTATTGTTTGGTTTGAAAAAAAAATTAAGCTAAGAAAAGACTACTCACTTTTTTCCTTGCAGTACAAAATAAATTCCCCGGATTATTTTTTTACATTTTTCGTTCTTTGTCGATATGTATGTAGCTTATTCATATTTATTAGTGATAATACCTCAGCTAGAAAGAAGAAATATATTTCTGACTTCATTACAGTTGCAATTTATTTATATAGCTGAATAGCGGGTACGATGTAAATCACATATACTAGACTGTTTTCCAGAAATTTTACAATTCCTTTGAGGATTATCTACTCACATATAAATTCCGGGATTATTATAAAATCATTTCCCAATTTTAACTTTTCATATATCCATTTCTATCACCTAAAAGACCCATTCCTGACACCCATCAGCATTATCTGGCACTTCTAACTTTCTCACAAACGTGCTATGGCTTCCCTCCGTCTTTTCTACAACTGCTTTGACGAGCAATTTTCACTGGTATCCCAACTGCATGAATTTAAGCGTGTTACTAAGTTGGCATCTCGGTCCCATCCTTTCACTGTCGAAACATTTAAATGCAACCAGCTCTTCTACTCCAAAAGCATCTTCTCTAGCACTTGTGGAACTTCCTAAAGGAGTAGTGATTATTCCATTCCGATTTTTATGATAACGGTGTTTAATAGATTCGGCTTTAAGTAATTCTTTTAAACCTAACTATGTAGTAATATGGTTGTCTTGTTCCAATGGATGTATTTGTTGGTATAGAGTTCTAAATTGCTTCCCTGATAGCTATAATCTTCAAATATTCAAATGTAATGAAAATCGACATCTTTTCATGCCTTGATTCTGATCCCCGTTCTTCTTTATATCCTTTCTTCAAATAACCCTCCTTACTCTTGCTCTAACTCTCTGTAACGCCTTGCGTGCTAGTGACACTCCCGCCTTGCCTGGGGTGAAATTCTTAAAAAAATTATTACGAAGAGAAAGCAACAAGATTTTGCAGATATAGAACTATATCGATATTAAGCTACCTGCATATCCAAATGTGCACATTAGAAATTTAAAATATTTATTATGATTGTATTTGAATAGTTTTCTTATACTTTGCCTAAGCCTGCACGAAGTTAGGAATTGCATCGAAGTTTCGATACCTGCCTATTTAATATATATATATATAGTCCGAATCATCTTCAAGAAGCGAGAGCAAGAACTAAAAAGGTCAGCCAATCTAACAGTGATCTCATCTCACAATCCTCATACTTGCTCCATATGTGGCCTCCTTTTTAAATAAACTAGCGGGTCTGAAGATCCTCATACTTCGAAACCAACGGTAGAGTCCATTATATATATATATATATATATATATATATATATATATATATATATATATATAAATTAATTGATTTAAAATATGGTTATTTTCACACAGTTCCAACCATGTTTCAAAAATAGAAGCTAAATATATATATATATATATATATATATATATATATATATATATATATATATATATATAAGGCACGGTGGAGTAATGGATAGCGACTAGGATTGAGGAATCGCAGAGCAGATTTCGAATTCCAGTCAAATCCATTACATTCACTTACGTGCTAATACGCTTGAGAAAGGTATGAATCCTCTTCCTCTCCCTCCAGCTATGGGTAAAATAGCAGGACAGACTGGGTTCTATAGCCTTGGATGGCAACTGGTCTAGGAGAAGGTCAACTCTGAATTTAAAACCTACGGAGGGTCGTTTGGGGACCTTGTGGCACTTAGTGCACCAGGTCTCTGAATTCGGCCCTTCAAAAAGTGTCACTGGTCCTGCACGAAACCTTCACCACTATAATCAAATCTCATGTGCCGTTGTCAGGCTGTCGGTTTCCTAGGGACTGATCTGCTTGACCCTCATACGTCGAACTCGACGGGAGAGTCGACAATATATATATATATATATATATATATATATATATATATATATATATATATATATATATATATACTAACTGATGTATTACATAAAACCAACATTATATACCAATTTAAATGTTCCTTGGGAGAATGTATCTTCTGACCATTCGTCCATTGCGAGACATCTACAACAATGCGCGCGTTATTTATGACATTGTAACATAGAAGAAAAAAATTCCATAATAGAAAATCCCCCACCCCCCGATACTGTTCATTCGGTCATCCGGAACAAGATTTTGGCGTTCAGAATGGTCAAACTTTGTACAGTTAAAAGGTGCCCTGTTTATCTTAGACTTCCTTGGATTGGATCCAAGTGTGAAAGCATAACGAAGCAGATTTCAGCTAATGTGCGTCGTTTTTTTTTTCTTGGCTGAGGTCCGTATAGTTTTCAAATAACATGTTCCCATTAAGATCAGGAATCACACCTTATCTTTGAATGAACTTGTCCCAAATACTTATGGTTCCACCATATGAGATCACCTTTTAAACAACAGAGGGTGTGCTGCCAATTTTAGTGTTAACTGGTTCACTGTTGTGTCCCGGACACACTTTCCATTTCATCTCAAGGTACTGGAAGCACTTTATATCGGGTCCCGCAAACCTTCCCTGTGTAAACAGCGTGAATGTTTGCTGGGGCTTGCTGTTATTTGTCTCTAGCTCTTTGTGTTCATTTTTTTCTCATTTTCATTAAACATTTTCCTGTTATTTTAATCTAAGTTAAATCTCCTGTAGAGCGGGAGCGAAACCGGTTGCTTCGTTTTTTAAAAATGTCATGTAACATTGAGCTACACACTTTCATTTCTTTATATATATATATATATATATATATATATATATATATATATATATATATATATATATATATATATATATACACACACACACATATATATATATATATATATATATATATATATATATATATATATATATGTGAAAAGTGTATATAAATATAAATAAAATATATATATATGTATAATTATTTATATATTATATACGCAGTACTTATTAGAAAACGCTCAATATCAGAGATAGAGCAAACATGTATGGTTGGACAGATGTGAGTTTGTGACCCTTGGTTTCAAGCTTTGACGATCGCTAAAAGCGTGAACCCAGGGTCAAAAACTCATTTATCAACCATATATATATATATATATATATATATATATATATATATGTGTGTGTGTGTGTGTGTGTGTGTGTGTGTGTGTGTTATAATAGAAATAAAGTTATATATCGGCATAAGCATAAGCAAAAAGGCGTGTAAGTATGCATGGTTTATTTTATAGGGTTCTTTGTATCCATCAATGAATATTTTCCAGTAATATGGTTCACATTCGTTTTATTCTTACGTTCTCTTTAGTATAATTCAATGTACAGATCGTCGACAGTTTAAGAAATAAGCTTATGTCTTTATATGTCTGATAAATATATAACTACATATATATTTTTAGGCATTTTATATTCACATGCAAGTACGCATATATATATGTGTGTGTGTGTGTGTGTGTGTGTGTGTGTGTGTGTGTGTAAACAGTTCGCCAGTGTTAATACATATTTTACTAGAAACGGACAGTAATCCAAACGTTATGTATTACGAAAGCCACTATACATCTTTAGTTCCATTCTTTTTTTTTAAATGCAAGTTAGGGGCGGTATAGAGTTGATAATGGAAAACATAAATAAATATAGATAAAACCTAAATAAAAACTTAACCCATTAAAAAAAAAGAGAAAAACGAAAAATAAAATAATTCTATACTTCGAAGGATTTATATATGTCCCTCAATTGGGGCGTGTACAGTGCAGACCCTTCGGAATAAAAGAATTATTCGCGAATGAATTATATTCGAGATGCTTCCGCCATTTTTGTTTTCAAAATGGAATCCGAGAAAAAAATGAATGAAGTCGAACAAAATCCCCTTAACTTTAGTTGCGGACAAAAAAAAATCGAACGAACGTTTGTGTACGCTCGCATGTGTGTGCGCGTGTACGTGTGTGTTTTGGCATGTATAGGTGTTTGCCTGAGTATATGTGTTTCCTTTAAAAAGTGAGTGGGAGAATCTGTATCGTGTAAAGAATATGAATATAGCTGGTCAAGACGGCGAGAGAAAATCGTGTATTTCTACGAAAAAATAATAAAAAGAACGAAATTAAACTCATACAAAAGTGTAGAATGTATAGAAAGATGGAAGGATACGTTTGATAATCGGTGTACTTAGGAAAATGTAAGCAAGCATGAAAGAAAGAAAGAAAGAAAGAAAGAAAGAAAGAAAGAAAGAAACGAATGATAATCTGTGCGCAAAGAAAAAAAGATAAAAAGAAAGAAAATAAGATAATATGTGGCCAAAGGAAACAGAAAGAAAGAAACGTATGATAATCGCTACCCAAAGGAAAAAGAAAGAAAGAAAAGAAAAGAAAGGAAGAAAGAAACATGTGATAATCTGTGGCCAAAGCAAACGAAAGAAAGAAAGAAACGTATTTATTGGTACTGAAAGTAGCCAAAGAAAGAAAGAAAAGAAAAGAAACGTATAAATTGGTAGACATAAGTTACTAAAGAAAGAAAGAAAGAAAGAAAGAAAACCCAGAATGGACTTGTCAACACCAAGAAGTTAGATAAAAAATGTAATCATTTTTTTTTTATCTAACTCCTTGGTGTTGACAAGCCCGTTTTGGGGAAATGGCCATATATCATATGGGGTATTGAATGTAATCTACTTGTAATTCATCTATGCTCTATAATAAATATATTGAGCTCTTTTCTGTGGATCAGTTTCAATATTTTATATTACTAGTATTCACTTGGATTACTTACCACGGAATTAACTATATATATATATATATATATATATATATATATATATATATATATATATATATATATATATTAATAGCAGTAGTCGTTTGGAAAACTTCGGATAGCTCAACTTGTAGATATGTGAGGACAAATCGGAAAAAAAAAACATCGGAACAAGACGAAACAAATCGTCAAAAGCTTTAAGTCCTTAGTCCCCCCCCCAAAAAAAAACGAGTAGAAAAACTAAAACGTAGAGTGCCCAATACGCTAATTAGAGCGAGTATTTATATATATATATATATGTATAGATAGATAGATAGATAGATAGATAGATAGACTGAGAGAGAGAGAGTCTGGAATATTTCATTTTATATTTAATCGTGATCTATCTCATAAATAGAGCATATCTTAAAACTACATATATATATATATATATATATATATATATATATATATATATATAAAGAAGAAGAAGAAGAAGAAGAAGAAGAAGAAGAAGAAAAAATAGGTAATAAAACCGAAAATACTCATATTTCAGCCTTAAAACGAAGGATCGTCATGCTGGGTTCAATATTTGTTTTACTAAGTTCGTAGTTCGGGCCTTAAATACGGAGGACTCGTTTTTTGGGGTGTTTTTTGCTTTGTTTTTTATTTTGTTTTGTTTTGTTTTTGTTTTGTTTTGTTTTTTTTTCACTGAAAATGAATATCATCCGGGTTAAATATAAGATATTAAATATGTTTTTTTTTTCTATGTAAACATCTTGTCATAATTTCAGCTCATAATTTTCAGTTTCATAATTGTGACAAGAGAATAGCATATATCATATTTAATTACTCCAAAACTCTCAAGAAAATTGAATTTCAGCATTGAATGACCCATAAGCTTTTGATATGCTGTTAAACAAACCAATCAAATTAAATCCTTCATATTCTAAATTTAACGAGGAAATACCAGTCAGACAACTTTTCCCAAGAACTGTTACTTTGTGAAATAACCTGAAAGCTAGAGTATTCATTCAAAACTACAGGTTTCAATTCGTTATCTATTCACCTTATCACTTCCTTCACCTCCTGCTTCATTTATATCGTATATTACATTCATATTATCGATGTTAAATTGTAACACTCTACCTTGAGCGGCATTTGATCCTAATATTATATTGAGTCATCTTTAGAATAAAAATCAGTGCACATCTCGGAAATTGACATAGATATAAGTATATTTGCATTTTTACGACTTATCTACATTTTACAAGTTATTTAAAGCGAAAAAATATTATTGGGATGTAGAACGTTTTGGAGACAATAATGTTTTACTAATTAACCCATAGCTAGGGGGAGAAGAGGTAAATTGATATCTTTCCTCAGTGCATTTGCGCGTAAGTGAATATAACGAACCTGACTGGAAATGGGAGGTCTCTGCGATTTTCAATTCCGTACCGTTATTCGTTAAACCACCTACAAATCTAAGGATATAACACCTGGTGACCTATCTAGATAATGACCAGGCTCAATGTTGCTTAACTTCGGAGATCGTACGAGAACCGGTATTTCAAAGTGATATGGCCGTAAACCATACAAACCCGAACATCCAAGATCAAAGTAGCTGGTTTTCCTAATCGGTCACCCATCTAGGTACTGACCAGGTTCGACGTTGCTCAACTTCGGTGACTCGTAATAGAACCGGTGTTTCAATGTAATTCGGCCGTAAACCATACTACCGAACATCCAAGCTTACAAAACGTTGTATATCGAAACTGTCACCCAACGAGGTAATGACCAGGCTTGATGTTGCTTAACAACGGTGATCGTACGAGAACCGGTGTTTGAAAGGGATATGGCCGTAAACAATACTATCTGAACATTCAAGCTTACAAAACGTTGATATCGAAACTGTCACCCATTGAGGTAATGAGCAGGCTCGAATTTGCTTAACTTCCGAGATCGTTCGAGAACCAATGTTTCAAAGTTACATGGCCGTAAACCATACTACCCGAACATATGTAGCTGGTTTTTCTAATCGGTCACCCATCTTGGTACTGACCAGATTCGACGTTGCTTAACTTCGGAGATCGTTCGAGAACTAGTGTTTCAAAGTTACATGGCCGTAAACCATACTACCCGAATATATGTAGCTGGTTTTCCTAATCGGTCACCCATCTTGGTACTGACCGGATTCGGCGTTGCTTAACTTCGGAGATCGTAAGAGAACCGGTGTTTCAACTTCATATAGCCATAAACCATGTAGCCTGAACATCCAAGCTTACAAAACCTGTTATATCAAAGCTGTCACCCATTTTGGCACTGACCTGCCTCGACGCTGTGTAACTTCGGTGATCGGGCAAGAAACAGCGTTAAACGTGACACGGCTAAGCCGGGATAAAAGACAGATGCTGGATGTCTTACATAATTAACTGTGGCCTACAAGGCAGAATATATCTATCTTTTCTTTATTCTCATTTTTTTTTGTTTGTTTGTTGATCCCTATTTAATGGAAAGTAAACAAAATGCGTTCAGACTTTTTATATATATATATATATTTATTATAAAGATTTTTGGTCCTCTTTTGTTGGATATATTTACATTGGTGTGGTGGATCCTTTAAGTTGACTTGTGTACAGACGAATTTACGTTATGTTAGGGTATTAGTATGTATGTAAGTATTGGTCATGTAAAAAGATATTTTTTTGTTTGTTGCATCATATATTTATTTATGAATTAATTGAAATAGGTTAAAAAATCAAAGAAAATCTGCTGTTTTTTCTTTATATATATATATATATATATATATATATATATATAATATCATAAAAAACATGTGATGCAACAATAAAAATATCTTTTATATATATATATATATATATATATATATATATATATATATATATATATATATATATATATATATATATGCAATATGATCTGTAAAATGTTTACGAAACAAAACACCGAATAAAAACGAGTGTTCGAAAAAGAAAAGTAAAATTGTAGAGGAAAAAAGAAAACAATTTCGATAAAATGTAAAAATTTGAATTTCGATAACCTTATGTATCCACGAACGTTTCTTTTGAATCGGAAGTGATCAATAATGAAAGTACGCTGGACACCGTTTGAGGTTTTTCTTATAAATCATTGAATCCGTAAAATGCTTATGAAAAGAAAACGAATTTCAGCAAGAGGAAAGAATAAAAAAAAAAACAGGAAAAAGAACGAAAAAAAAAATGGTGGGGAGACGCAATTTCGTTAGAAAGAATGTAAGAATTTGAATTTCGATATCGGAAGCGATCAATTTTCTAGACACCCAGCGTGGGTTTACTTGAATATCATTACTTGAAAATGTGCGTGGGTCATAGTGTCGAGATGAATACAATTAATTTCATGGATAAAAGATTGACATTGAGCCTGGTGGAAAGAATCCAAAAATGAGATTCCAAAGCAGAAAACTTAATTAAATATAATCCTATAAAACAAAAAATATGATAAAATTATTTTTTCAGCCTATAAGATGCCCAAGAGCCACCCAAGGTAGAAATTGACTGAATGCAGCTACTGTGTGAGTGAAAGAGGTGGTGGTAAGAAATGAAGTTCATGAGGCTAAGAAGCAAAGATAAATGTTAGACCATAGACTTGAAAAGGTTAAGATTATAGTGATCGGTAAAACATCATTTTACATCATACGAATAAAATACAAAGGGAATGAAGATGATTCATTTCAAAGTATGTGGCACACCGGAAGGCAGAACTTCTTGTGGAACTAAAGGGAAGTAACTCGTCAGAATAATTGCAATAGAAACAGCAACAGAGAAGCGAGAAGCATGCGACGTTTCGACCATGGGAAAGTGGTTGTAGGGTGGAAAACGTTCAATGTATATATTATTTTTATTTTAAGAATTTCACACCAAGGAAGGCGGGAGTGCCACTACCACACAAGGGGTTCCAGAGAATGGAGTCAAGAGTAAAGAGGCGTGATAGAGGAAAGGATGAAGACAAAATGGAAGGAGAATAGATCAAGACATCTGGAGATGTTGATTGATATGTATTTGAATAGTTGAAGAGTATAGGTATCAGGGAAGCGAGTAAAAGGCAGGGAGTTCCATAGTCGTGAAGTGCGATGCATGAAGCCAATTGAGTAGAAGAGACGGTTACATGTAACCGTTTCGACAGTAAAAGGGTAGGACTGACATTCCAACCTAGTAACACGTTTAAATCCAAGCAGTTTAGGAACCAGCGAAAATAGCTTGTCGGAGCAGTTACAGTAGAAAAGACAGAGGGAGGCGACGGCACGTCTGTGAGAGAGCGACTGTAAACGAGATGCCAGATAGGTTCAAATCGCCTTGAATATCCGTCTCTGGATTTTGTCGAGGACCTTACGACGAACAGCTGGGGCTCCAGACCATATATGGCAGCAGTATTTTCCATTATTCCTTTTATCGAGAACTATGAACACGATAAGAAGCGATACTTTTTTGTTCGGAATCTTTGTAAATAAAGCCATTGATTTTCTGTAGATTGCGTCAGTATATAATGACACTATATCATTGCATACCATCGAATAAAAAATAGTTTTTGTACTATTTCGCCTAATCCAAGGCCCATGAGCCACACAATAAAGATGGTTCATGTGTGGCGTTGTAAGAGCTTAAGAAAAGGCAAGAAGTGAAGTTTATAGGGTTTTATATGAAAGATAACTGTTAATCGTAGACTTGACGAGGTAACGATTATAGTAACTGAGGAAATATCCTGTTGGAAGTCTGTTCCACAAAGCAGCAGTAGATGGAAAGAAGCTCTTCGAATAGTGCTTACTTTTCACTCTAAGAAGCATAGAGGGAAGTTCATCAGAACAATTGCCATGGAAGTATTTATGGAAAAGGCAGAGAGAATCTATGATGGGGATGTGCCTGGAATCGAGATGCCAGGTCAGGACCAATAATATTGCAGATTCTTCTTTGCTTTGTATCATGAATCTCTAAATATATGGCAGAAGACGAAGACCATATGTGGAGGCATATTCAAAACAAAGAAGAATGGTAGATTTATAAATATGTATTCTTGTTAAGAGGGATTGTCGAGCACGACACAGTGAACCAATTTTCATAGTAGTAGACCAAACAATTAATTCAATATAATTTTTCCACTTCACGTCACCGGAAAACGTTAGTCCAAGATGGCGCAATGAATCATTCATCTGGAAGGCAAAAGGGATTACTTATGGTTTTGTCAACGTTTGCGTACAGATGCTTATAAAAGAAATCGTCTATTTCACCAAATACTTTTGTTGTAGACCCCTTCCGAGATTGATTTTGGACGCAATTTCACACCATGTTGCCAGTTTGATTTTTAATTGTTTTTTTTCTTCCATTAAATTATTATGAACGTTTATTTACACCCAGACTATTGCTCTCTTCTTTGATGTTGTTATTACAACTCTTCGCGTATGGCTCCCTAATATTCTTCCGACGTGTTCTAAAACTCGTAGCTTTAAGAAAATTTCGATCTGAACCATTTATTTACAATACAGAAGTACAGGGTGCGATGAATATATATATATATAATTATTTATTTAAAAATATGATTCCAACACGCTACATAAGAGTTCTCATGTTACAAAACAAGAGCCGAAAACTTCAATCAATTTAATTCAAATAATTATATTGAAGTTTTTGGCTCTTGTTTTGAAACATGAGAACTCTTATGTAGCGTGTTGGAATCATATTTTAAATAAATATGTTTATGCTCTACTTCTGTATCGAGCACTATTTTTTAAAATAATAGCAAAAATACTAAAGAACTTTGGATTATTAACCTAACGAGTTATTTCCTATTTTCTATATATTCTTCACACACACACACACACATTTGGTGTCAGAATTTCTACTATCTTCATAAGACAGAATGAGCTAGCTAAATCTAGCGTATTGTTTTTACTGATGTAAACAAATGCCAATCAGCCATAGGGCTCGATTCATTTTACTGATGCGCTTTGCATTAGCGCAGGTGACTGTTGTTCATAGAATTAGCTTGGAATTCAACAGTGCTTAATTGAAATATATTTTCAAGAGCTAAATTATGTCATTCACAGGCAGTACTGTTTCGCATATATATATATATATATATATATATATATATATGTATGCATGTATTATAAATTAACTGATTTAAAATATGTTTCTTTTCTACACAGTTCTAACCATGTTTCAAAAATGGAAGCTAAAAAGCTCGAATTTAATTTTGTAATTAAATTAAAGACATTAGTTCATTTCATCCTCAAGCGAATTTTGGAGTAACTTTTAAAATTACTGGTTTTTAAAGACACAGCTAAAATCATAATTCACGTTTCCAAGGTTACAGATAAATCCACTTCCACTAGACAAGGGGTGTCTGCGTGTTCATTATGTCTGTATTTTGATGTATCAGTTATTAGTTACATTTTGGTCGGGGTAGGGATGTATTTTTCAATAAGAACACCGTATTTGGTAAGGGTAGGGATGTATTTTTCTATAAGAACACCAGATTATATATCTTACTGTTCTTTCTTCATATATTTATATATATATATATATATATATATATATATATACGGCAAAGGACACTCCTTTAAAGGCGAGGAAAGGGAAAAATATTTTAAGTCAAGTGATAGTGATTGCTGTATGAGTCGTACGATTTTTGAATCAAGCACGGGCAACGCCGGGCCATGCTGCTAGCCTTACATATTCAGACAGAAATTTTGTTTATATGCCACGATTACACGGTATCTGATGTTTAATCCATATATTTTTTCTTTTCTTTTTCAGATTCATCGCTGTCACCCAGCCCATAAAATACTCGAAACACAAAAACTCAAAACGAGTCTACATCATGATCGGTCTAGTCTGGTTAATTTCAGTGGCCATTGCAGCGCCGATTGCCTTAGGCGTTAATTATTCAAACAAGCGACAGCCACTCGACTGTGCTTTTTTCAATTCAGACTTTCTTATATACTCTTCAATGGGATCTTTTTATATACCGTCGATAATGATGATATTCCTCTACTGGCGAATATATCGGGTACTTATGCTTCGCTCGAAGCGGCTAAAGGAGAAAAAAGCCCAACAGAAAATAGAGCGGGAAGCGCTGGCAAACGTTATAGAGAACAAAGCCACAACAAGTAAAGCGGATATGACGTTAGATAATGACATGTCTAATTCCCCTGAAAAGGGTGCCACCGCAAATAATGTCGGACGGGGTCGGTTGAAAAATATGGTGGAGGAGGTGGTCGTAAATAAAGCAGCGGGTCAAGAGGCACAGCTCGACGACGATCCAGCGATAGAGAACGGCCGTGAGGACGACAGCGGGCCGAAAAGTACACCAAGTGACGAACTGAAAGATCACGTGATCGAGAACAGCAACCTCACTGGCGGGTTGATGATGAACGAAGTGAAGGACGAGAAAACGTCTTTACATCCCGACGGTCACCAAGGATACGCTGCCCCGGCCAATGTCGAAGTAGAAACTCAGTTTAACTCGGCCCTTGGGGGTGGGTCAGGCGCTGGAGCCAGTGGGGGACTCGCTACCAGTGCTGCTGTCAGCGCCGGTGATAACTTAAAATCAGCGCCGACCTCGACGCCAAGGAAAAATTTTTTAACACCGCCCAAACAAAAATTCGCCGGCCTCAACAAAAGGGGAGGCTCCGGAAAGAAGAAGGGCACGTCCCCTTCAAAAAAAAGTGTCACAAAATTTAATTTCCACAAAAAGAAAGACTTTAAAAGGAAAAAAGATAATCACGGTGCAAAAGGCGCCATGCGAAAGGAAAAGAAAGCAACCAAAACCTTAGCCATTGTTTTAGGTAAGTATCATTTCCTTACAATCTATATATAAAATTCTGTGTCTTCCGTTAGTCCGTCCGTCCCACCCTCTAAAATAGACAAACAATGACTGATCGAAACTAAATTTTTGAGTGCAAACAGTTAAGAGTGTACAAAATACGATTGGTTTTACTACGGTTTGTCAATTGATACAGTAAATTTCAATTAAATTTTGAGAAAATTAAATTACGGTGTAACCCGGATATAAGAGAGTTGTCGGGACCGGAGACGAAGTCTCTTATATCCGGGTTTCTCTTATATCCGGGTTTGGTCTATTTTATATACATTAACACATGCTCTAATTTGGGACCAGATAAAATCTATCTTATATACGGGTTTCTCTTATATCCGGGTCTCTTATATCTGGGTTACAATGTATTTATAATTTAACATATGAAATACTCCAACTATTTTAAAACAATTTAATGATTAAAATAACAAATACATATTTAATAAAAATGTAATATTGTTTTTAAGATATCTTTTCTTTCACTTTTTATATATACAATAATCCACTTAAATTAACTATATATTTTACTATATGAATGAACTAAAAATTTAACACACACATATTATTTAAATGTTGTATTTTTTTACAGTTATTTGAAACAACTTTAATGTCTCAAAAACAAAACTGTTCTCTATTAATCACCACAGAGATCCTTCCCTGCCCTCCATTAGAATGTCTGACGCTCAACTTCTCGAGAGTGCCTCTCTGCGGCTGCTCGGTCTCACCTTGTCTACTGACCTGAGATGGAACAAATACATTGAGTCAATTGCTTTGTCCACCGCAAGGAAAGTTGGCTCTCTGTGCCGCGCCAGGAAATTTTTCTCCCCGGAATCGCTCCTCCAGATCTACAAATCAACAATTCGCCCTTGCATGGAGCATTGCTGCCATATATGGTCTGGAGCCCCTTCTGTTTGCCTCGGGGTTCTTGATAAGCTCCAGAGGCGGATATGCAATATAATTTGCCCTGCTCTGGCATCTCGTCTACAGTCACTTTCTCACAGACGCGCCGTCGCCTCTCTCTGTCTGTTCTACAAATACTTCCATGGCAATTGCTCCGAGGAGCTGCATTCGCTGGTTCCCAGACTTCATGAGTTCCAGCGCCCTACGAGGCTGGCATCCCGCTCTCACCCCTTCACTGTTGAAACTCCTAAATGTAGCCGTCTCTTCTACTCCAATAGCTTCATGTCTCGCACCTCTCGCCTGTGGAACTCCCTCCCCTATTCCAGTTTCCCTGAGAGCTATAATCTCCAGCTATTCAAACGTAATGTCAATCGACATCTCCTGTTGCCTTGATCTATCCACTACCCTTCTACTCATTCTTTCTTCTATCACTCCTATCTGATCTTGCTCCAAATTTTCTGTAACCCCTTGCGTCCTAGTGGCTTCCCGCCTTGCTTGGGGTGAAACGCTTAAAAAAAAAATAAAAAGCAAAGGATAGAAATTTAGTTAATAAATGCACTGCCAGACAAAAGTATTTGGCAACCCTCAAAAAATTTTATTACTTAGTCTAAAAGTGTTATTTTTAATTAAACAAGTTAAGCACCACAGTAGTTTTATTAATTATACTAAATACAAGTCTTCAAGAGCCACATCAAATATAAATTAAACAAAAAACACTCAAAAAAAATTTTAAATTTTGATTCTTCAAAATGACCCCCTTTAGCTGCTTTCACTATTTCATAGATTCTCGCCATTCTTCCCACCAAAGATCGGAACCAAATTTTGGAGAGAAGTGCAAACAGGGAAAGGAGATACAAAAAACAGTTGGTTTTATTACGGTGCGTAGTTTAGTACAATAAATTTTTATTACATTTTTGGAAAGATTAAAATTCTATTATTTAATATAGAAAATACTCCAATTATTTTTAAAAACAATTAATGATTAAAATAACAAATAGATATTTAATAATAATGCAATATTGCTTTTTGCATATATCTTTCTTTAAGTATTTTTATATATATATATATATATATACAAGGAATGAGTTTTTATTAACAAATCCCAATTCCTTACGCTTGAAAAAGATGGAAAAATATGTTGGACCTTGACTCCAGAAGGAAATATTTACGCGTGGCAGTATGTTGCATGCTCAGGAGTAAAAAATCCTGATAATTTATTCTTTTCTGTTAAAAGGAAAAAAAAATCTTTAAATCTTTTGTTTACCATGAAACTCTATAACATCAAATTAAATTATTAAACTTCAAACTGGCGTTTTTGTAAAGGTAATTTTCCAAACAAATCAGGTTATTCAAATGTCATCGATTGATTTGCGAAACTGAGTTTGTAAGTCTTCCAGAGCCACATTAAATAAAAATTAAACCAAAAACACACAAAACAATTTTTAAAATTTTGATTCTTCAAAATTAACCCCTTTGGCCGCTGTCACCGTTTCACAGATTCTCGCCATTCTTCCCACCAAAGATCGGAACCAAATTTTGGAGAGAAGTGCAAACAGGTAAAGGAGATACAAAATACAATTGGTTTTATTAGGCTGCGTAGTTTAGTACAATAAATTTTCATTACATTTTTGGAAAGATTAAAAGTCCAATTATTTAACATAGAAAATACTTCAATTATTTTAAAAACAATTTAATGATTAAAATGACAAATACATATTTAATAAACATTCAATATTGTTTTTAGGGTATCTTTTCTTTAACTTTTTATATATATATATAAGAATCCATTTTTCAGTTCTCCATATGTTTGCGATAACTATAAACAAATCACAAAACTATTTAAAAATTTGGAATTTAGCACCAGAAAAAATATTGACGCATGGCCAGGTGTATGTTGAATGCACGAAAGAAATCCTAAGAATTTTGTTTTAATCCAAAGAATCTATTCTTCCCTGTTAAAAAGGTATAAAATAAATTTTATTAAAGACTATTGTTTAACTTAAAGTTCTCTAAAATTAAATTAATTAAATTAAGGCAATTACCAAAGAAATTTTTCAAAGTATTTTTCCAAACAAATCAGCTTAATCAAATTTCATCGATTGATTTGCGAAACTGAGTTTGTAAATCTCAAAATAATATGTTAGCGAAAACGTCAACAATGTCAGATACGCTGAGGATTTGAACTAACGTCAGCAGGTTGCAAAATGAATTCTAGTGTGGAAAAAATCACGGCCTCTTTTGTTCATCGTACATCGCAGATAAATTAAAGTACAAACATCGAAATATTTAACAATTAATCTACGTAATAATGGATATGCGGGCAGTGGTAGTAGTTACAACTCTGAAGATACGAAAGGTATGTTGAGTTTCAAATAATTTCCTTGGCCTTTGCGTTCATCTTTGCGCAAATCTTTAAATATTGATTAATGAATTGTTCTATCCCCAAACTTTGTAAACTGATCTTCCCTGCTTTTGTTTTTATTTTTTGGCAAACGGTCTAGGATAAGGGCAATCCTGAATTCAAAATCGATTGCGCTTGAAGTTTGCAATTTTACCTTGTAAAACCCAATTTGCCACTGAATAACGGGCAGCAACTTTAGCATCCTGAGGCTAAGGCGCTATACCTATGTGCAAAATTTGCACATATTGCCATTTGTAGTGTCATTGCGAAACACTGCCAAATACGATTGGTTGCGCCTGATTTCATCGATTGGTTTGCGAAACTGAGTTTCGTAATCTCGATAAAAATGTTAGCGATAACTTCCATAATACTAAATGCTGTGAGGACTTTTAGTACTATGAATTATCTGTTGAGGAGTCGGAGAGCCGAGTTCGAATTCAAGTCGAATGCATTACTTTCACTTACGTGCTAATACCCTTGGGAAAGGTATGAATCATCTTCTCCCTCCAGCACTGGGTAAATAGCAGGACGTTCTATAGCCTTGGATGGCAACTGGTCTACCGCAGAAAGAAATGGCAACCTGCGCCTGAAAAAATTCTGCCTCGTCAGTCATGTATCGAAAGATACATGATCGCCTCGCCTAAGCGTCTATCACGCATTACATGTAACTGACTGCCTGACATAGTCACCACATCATACCCGATCGATATCAGCAGGTAACCGTGAAGAGGGGGCATGATGTTGAAAGACGCGAAATCCTTTATTAAACTCGGCTAAAAACCTCACTGATGATGTGTATCAAAGCAACAGACAGATGTATTTCATTAAAATATGTGATTAAAAAGGTGGCTAGAATTGTTTTTTGTCGAGCTGGGTTGTTGTTTCGTAGTGAACTCAGTCGGTTACGTCGCTACGTTCTTCTACCGTCTTGGGTATGACTATAAACTACATCCGCATCCTGGGTAAGACGATAAACTACATCCATGTCCTCGGTAAGACGATAAACTACGTTCAGCAGCAAGGCCTCTGATCAAGAACTTTTGAGGAGTGTGGAACCACCTCTTAATTTCTGGTGTTCTCAGATCCACCCTGAACCATGGTGGTAGCACCTGTTAGGGGTCTCAACTCTGGGGAAATAGTTAACCCCCAAACTGGGGTCAAAACACTATGAAAGTGTAAAAATAGGATTTATTACCAGAAATACTTTGTTAAAAAAATATTACCAGCAATACATTTTTTGGGGAAAAAAAGATATTACCGGCAATACATTTTACCAGCAACAAAAATCTTGTAAGCATAAAATAAACCATTGAGGTTGATATACCGTAAAACAAATCAAACCCAACCAATATATACTGAGATAGATAGATAGATAGATAGATAGATAGATAGATAGATAGATAGATAAAAAATATTACCAGCATTATAAAAATCTTGTCATCATGAAAATAACCCATTGAGGTTGATATACCGTAAAACAAGCCAAATCAGCGTTCATCTCTACGGCTCTCTTCAGACCATTACACTTAATGTTTAAGCAACAGTGGTTCACATTTTTTCTTTTCTGATGCCCCTTGTCACCTAGGCGACAGCCTTGCACTCTTTCTCACATACTATGAGGGAACGTCTTTCTTCTCATTAGATATGATATAAATTCAAGACAATTAATCTAACATGAGATGGACATCCATAGCTATATGGCTACACCTTCAAACTTAGAGTATCAGCTCTTGTAGTCTTTTGCTGTCTGGTCTATTAGGCGTGGTGCGCGTCCTGCCCAGAGAACGTCGATAAGGTACAAATATTCAACTTTTATCACCAGCAAACATAATAAAAATAAAACCATGCGTTGGCCTTTATCTATGACAATGTCTATTCTTTGTAAAGCATTCGTGTTCCTTAAGTGTAAATTATTTAGATTTTTTTCAGAAATTTTGGAAAAAAAAATAATGATTCATTTTACGTAATATCATCAGCCTGCCACCTCTTACGGTTTTCTTTTTTCTGGCCAAACCCTGGACCTTTCTTCCGTCACACCCAATATGGTGGTACAGTTCATTTTAGGAAGCCCCATACTTAAAACGAAGAAAAGTCACCTTTGAAAAATTAGCTCGAACCTACTGGTTAATTTGTAGCGTCATCTATTGACTTTATTTAAGGCTACTTTTCGAATGATACTTTTTTTAGCAAATACGATAGACGTACACTTGTAACATAATAGAGGTATGACACCCTGACTAGTGTCAAAGATTGACAGGCGATCTACTTTTTATTCCAAAAGAAAGAAAAATATTTTCATCTTAAAACAATGTGCTACCATGAATTATCTGGTATGTGTCACTTATGGAGTATAGTGTGAGAGGTGAAATTGTAAGCTTGGCTGGGACTGGTCATTAGGTACAGTCCAAGTTCTGTTTAACTTAAGTGTTCATTTGAATTGTTCGTTGTAAAAAGTCAAACAAAGGTCAGGTGTGTCTTGATCAGGGATATAACATATTTTCAGATAGAATTGACGATTGCACATGTGATAATCAAGTCAAGTCAGGGTGAAATTCTGAAACGGAAAATGTTCCACTGAGAGTGGATATGAGCGATGCACGGCCCCAAAGGCTAGGATGGAACTTCTCGTCTCCCCCTCCGATACTTACGACACAGGACCCTTATTTTGATTGAACTACCATATTGGGTTCTTCAGGGATGTTATATCTCCCATTCAAGGCGTGTGAAAAGACCATTGAACAAACATTATTATAGGCTGGCCAATACCATTGGCCAAGCATTATTATTGACTAACCAATCAGAGCAGTGCAATTGGGGTTTGCATTCCCATAAAACAGTTACCGAAAGAGCAGAAGTAAGATCGAACTGGTCTCGTGGGCACCTCGAGGTGGTGTAGTGGTTAGCAAGCTTGTCTCGCTAAGATAATTACGACTGAATAGTGAGTTCAATCCTCACTGGGTGCCCCATACTTTCGGCCGTGTGCCACATCTAAGCTACGCTTGGAAAAATTTTTTTGAGATCGAACTCGACGACTTCCGTCGAGTTTTGACAAATATTGGATCGTTTCTCGGCCTTCGGCATGAGATTCGATCACGACTTCGACTAGCTTGGACTGGCTCTGGCCTGGACCTGCTAGGACAAGCCATGACCAGCTTTGACTAAGCTCTGACCAGCTTGGACATGCTATGACCAGTTTTGGACCAGTGGCCCTTGAGTGGAAACACTCGGGTCTCCCACGTTAAACGACCTTGTGTCACATCCTGACCCCGTGGGAGTCAAGTAAATATCATCGAACTGGTCTCGCTGTTAGTGAACTAACACTCTCCCTGCCGGTTGACCGTGGTGCCTCAGTCAGCTAAAGACCTGTTCTCTGCATTTCTTTTTGAATTCCCTCGGTCAGCTGCCTTCATTAAAATAGTTGGACAACTCTGGGCTGTTTAGCCATAACTGCAACATTCAGTCCAAATTTTCCTCCAAGATTAAGAACTCCTTATACGGGGAAACGTACAGAAATCCATCTGGTTTGTGGATTTATCTTATTAATCATAGTACCATAAATAAAATTTGTTATTTTTACACTTGTTAATGACTGTTGTTGAAGTTAATTAAGTTTCATGAATAGCCATGACAGAGAGGAATTATGCCTGATCTTCTACAGTTCTTCACCGATATTCCTGCGTTTACTGAAACACAACGTGTTGGGGGGGCGGAATTGGTGCAGAGATGGCTCGCCGGAGACACGGACCAAAGTCAGCACGCATGGTTATAGAGGTTATGGCTCAGAAATTTCAATCAATGTTTCAAAATTACTTTATATTATGCAGTTAGGTTAACATGTACTTATAGTGCAGATGCCATGTTATGCTATTATGTATTAGTTAAGTCTGCTTCGAAAAAGTGGACTTTTGCGTTTTGAGACATATCTGACGGCATATTATATCCTTGGTATTGTATTTCTCTGGCAAAGTGAAGGGAGAACTGTCTGTGCATACGTAATAATTTTTATTCGTGTGCCTGTGTAAGTACACTGTTAACTGAAATAATTCCTACAGTCAAATATATATATATATATATATATATATATATATGGATGGATGCATGCATGCATGTATGCATCTATACAGAGAAGCCCTGTGGTCTTTTGAAAAAACAAACGATATTGATATGAAAGGCGGGTCACGACTCTTCAGAGAGTAGTTTTAATTACTCGCAGTTATGTTGAGAGACCTGTAATGCGATCTTTTGTGACTTGGATTGAAAAGGCTTTCATGTTCAGCGATCCGTCTTATAAGTCAACGGTATCCTCAAAAGAAGGCCAAATTTGAGATTTTTTTCTCTCTCTCTCTCTCTCTCTCTCTCGTCGTTTCTGAATTCAAGGATGATGGAATATTCCTTTTCCATCAGAACTTCGCTCGAGTTAGACGCACTAACAGAATTGCCAATAAGCACGCGGGTACTGAACTCCTTCCCTATTCAATTTTACATTTTTTTTTTTTACTACATCAATGAAAGTATTGGATCGTAACAAAAGAACTATGGTACGTTTGTGCATATTGGAAATTCTGTTGGTGCGTCTAAATTTATTTCACGTGCGTTCTGCGACCCCCGTAAATTTAGCCTCAAAATTAAATCATCAAAAGTCACTTGTGAGTATATATGATATATATTCATGTTTTCGCTACCCGCTCAATCCTTTTACACGGTTTCTTAATGAAAGCAGACACAAGTTTTATTATAACAGAAATATAAATAGATAGATATGAACAAACTAAGATAGATACAAAGTAATATATATATATGTGTGTGTGTGTGTGTTTAATACAAATATAAATTTCGTCACTTAGCTGATTCATGTTATATTCGCCACCCAAATCCCAGAGTTTCGTAGACGATGAAGAGTGATATATACAAAAGTGGGGCATAAATATAATTATTTATTCAAAAATATGATTCCAACGCTACATAAGAGTTCTCATGTTTCAAAACAATAGCCGAAAACTTCAATATAATTATTTGAATTAAATTGAATTAAAGTACCAAGCTCTGTTCCATCATCAAGCGAAATTTTTTGGGGAATAAATTATTCCTGAAATTTACGCGTTTTATAAGCATATTCATTATTGAAATTAAAATTACTATGGTAACGGCGAGAGCAATTGTTTAAAGAAATGGGGCGTAAGGGTTAATAATTTGTATCAATATCTCAGTTACATTCAAAGATGTCAAGTATATATATATATATATATATATATATATATATATATATATACACTCACCATGTCGATCTGAAAAAACGGGACTGTTATAATCAATTTATTTCAATTCAAACCAACTACATGGTTTCTTATTCTTTGTCCTGCTTATATGCACTACTGGAAGTATTATGTTTGGGTACCCCTCAACTCAGTTGATACGACACTATTAATTGCCTACATGCCTTCAAGACGGCTCTCCTTGATGATCCTCTTCATTTTGGTGAAAAGAAAAATGTCGCAATATCATGAGAATAGGGAGGTTGTGTCAGTACACAACGTTCTTCTCGACCAGGAACTGCCGGATGATCAGGGCGTTGTGTACAAGTGCATTGTCATGGTGATTAGCCATGATTTCTCCTGCCACAAAAGCATGTGAAAATTTAGAGAAAGTTAAGATTACAGTTATATAATCCCAAGATATCATGTTAGATGATAACACAATCCACTTATCCATCTTTGGCCTATAGCTCAAATAGCACACCCAGTCCCGTTACTTTTCAAACTGACCACGTATATATATATATATATATATATATATATATATATATATATATATTAAGCATTTCGCCCCTAGCAAGGCGGGAAGCAACTAGCACGCAAGGGGTTATAGAGGATTTGGAGCGAGAGCAGGTAGGAATGATAGAGGAAAGGATGAGGAGAAGGATAGTGGATAGATCAAGGCAACTGGAGACGTCGATTGACGTTACATTTGAATAGTTGGAGATTATAGCTATCAGGGAAACAGGAATAGGGAAGGGAGTTCCACAGGCAATAGGTGCGAGATATGAATCTATTGGTGTAGAAGAGACGGAAACATTTAACAGTTTCAACAGTGAAAGGGTGAGAGTGGGATGCCAGCCCCGTAGGATGCTTGAATTCGCGAAGTCTGGGGACCAGCGAAAGCAGCTCATCGGAGCAATTACCATGAAAGTATTTGTAAAAAAGACAGAGAGGCGACGGCGCGTCTGTGAGAGAGCGACTGCAGACCAGATGCCAGATCAGGGCCAGTTATATTGGATATCCGTCTCTGGATCTTATCAAGAACCACGAGGCAAACAGAAGGGGCTTCAGACCATATATGGCAGCAATACTCTATGCAAGGGCGAATGGTTGATTTGTAGATTTGAAGGATCGATTCCGGGGAGAAAAATTTCCTGGTGTGGCACAGG